GATAGGCACACCACTCCGAATAGGGCGTGCCCAGGCTCATGTTCGGCCCGACTCCCATTTACTGCCGATTTCGGGCCGGTGTATCTGGGCCTTTATGTGTGAAGTATTCTACGCGTTCTGTGCTGTCATTTGTCTGGGTTTTGGGCTGTTAAATAGATCAAATCAAACTATCAAATCATAAGATAGAGCCCTGGAGTACGGTGATATACAACTGGGTGAACTGTGATCACATTACACTTGGTGGATGCAGTTTTGTCTGCTTTTGGTCCAGTATGTTGTTATGATTTCTTTTAAGTATTAAAGTAAACATGCAAGGGACAATTTACCTCTTTGCTAAATAAGATACTGTACATTCATGTGTGAATATTTATACATGTTGTACCTTTTATAAATAAATATCCACAGACCAATCATTTAAATTATGGATTATTGTCAAATCCTCCTCCAAAGTGAGAAGCATTCATGTTTCGAAGGTAGCTTGTTTGCCTTTTTGAACCAACAGCTGTTTCCTGTAAAATTCAATTAGATGTGTTGATTGTTTATCCAGGCCTTCTTCGCTGACGTCAGCCAGCAGGGCAATGCTCCCAGGGTGTCTCTATAGTAAATGTTGCTTATATGGCACTGTTTAGGTAGGTGTGGGTTTAAGATATGTCATTTTTTATCAGAATGTGTCTCAGATGAAAGCGTCCAAAGGCAGGCCTGAGATGGACTTAGTATTAGAAATGTTCCAGATGTCTTTATATCATTCCGTGAAAGCCAACATTACATCTCCCCTGCTATGCTACACATCACTAAGTTAAGTTTGACAGCTGGCATGGAGAAGGGGACTCTTTCCAATTTGCACACCCCCGTCTTCCTCCCTCCTACCGACGACTGCCAAAGAATAATTCATCTTAGCAGTGCATAACGCCAGGATTTCCAACTATTATCCCCTGCCGCTCTGAGACCTGCTTATCTTTGTCGCTAGATCTCAGCACCTCCTGGGCCCTGGAGGTTTTTCCCCTGCAGGGAAACGGGTTGTATTACCACCTATTCAGAAGTCAGGAGAGAGTAGTTTTCATGATCTCATGTTGATCTGTACCCTGGCCGACACTGACCTCGCAGCGTCTCCACATCTGGACTGGTTCAGATCTCTGAGAACTGCAGCTTATAACAGTGCTAAACAGCGTCAGGCCCAAGGAGCCACAGGCAGGCTGCCTATTGGCCAGAGTGCTGTGACAGCATTAGAAGAGAATGGAGCTTGGGATGATTTTTACATTAAGGTACGTAGCTTTGGTTAAACATGCGTCATCTTAAATAAGAGGTCCTTCATAGTGGCTCAGGTAATTTGTATTCACATACTGGTGGTCTCTTTTATTCATCTCCGTAAGAATTTGGTATCTTAAAGTGGACCTATCATTCTATATTTGAATAATATATTGTAGGGCCATACCTATATAAAACACGTCTGAAGTTTTTTTTCAAAATACCAAATAGATCATGCATTTTAGCCATGCCTCATTTCGCTCTATTTGCTCTATTCCAGCCCTGTCTTCACAAGGGCTGATTCTGTGGCAAATGAGCTGAAGCTGACCACGCCCCCCTGCAAAGGGGCACGAGCGTCATGTTACCATGCTGTTACCATGTCACGGCAACCTCTCATTCCCCTGATAGGTGGAGAGTTGCCCATATAGGCGGAGCTCCTTGTTTCTGACATCAGAACAATTTCAAATCTGTATCAGTCTGTATCAGATCTGTTGCAGCCCCGTTTTTAGAGATTTGGGTATGGAGGAAAAGAGAGAGAGTTATGTTTTCTGACACTTGGTGAGTTCCCTGACACACCGGGGACACATATTCATGTATTAAAGACGTACAAAAGTGCATTTTGCATGATAGGTCCCCTTTAAAACATTACTTGCATCGTTTTCAGGCTTGANTGTGTGCCCTTATTGTAACAGGAAGCTTTGGTTGTTTGCTGCAATAAAGGCTTCATACGAATTTTGAGATTCTAGACTTGTTTAATCAAGCTTCAGACCCAAACACACTTTCAAATACTCTTACTTTGACAAATATAATCATGTTGTTTTCTTGGTTTCATTTAACAAAATATTCCACATGCTCAAATGTTAACATTTAGCTTTATAATAACTTTATCTGAATAAAATAGTCAAAAAGTGGTTTCATTTTCAAATCAAGTGTTCTGATTAAAGAGTAAACAAATCTGCCATGTCTATTTTTACTTTTTTGTTTTTTTAGGGGATTAATAATTTATCTAGAATAATTAAGAAACAAAGACATCCCAATAAACCCAAGCTGCTGTTTCTCATTTTGTCTGATCAACATTTTAAAGAAGCACGGGAAAAGATGAAGGCAGTGACCGCAATAAGAGTGAAAAAAGGGACTCTTGCATAATGAGTTATTTATTGGGGGTCGTTAACCTCTTGTCTTGGGGTGAAATGTCAGCAATAACACAGCAGGGGGTTGGAGAGGCTCGGGGGAGGCTGGCGCTGAGACATTTTCGAACCAAAGAAGGATCATAATAAGCTGGAAAAATCCCCCTAACTTTATCTTGTTTTTGTCAGTATCATCTTTGTGGTTTGAAGTTGCCACTAGCGCCTGTCCTGCTGCTTCCTGTCCTGTTGCAGTGAGCCTTTGGCAACACTGCCCCCATGTGGCTGAGAGGAAAGCTACACCTAGTCCCCTGACCTGAGGGTCCCAAACATCATTAATAATGCTAAATACTGATATATGCTGGCTTGTTTTCTCTAAAGGGCAAATTAAAACTGTTGGGCTTTGGCTTTTAATCCTGTGTTTTTGTTGCATAGCAGATCAACTAACCGCGCTTCTAAAAGAGCTTTACCCATCTTTTTGCTCCTCTTCTTCCTCCTCAAGACCCCCGCTTACTCCCCACTTCTCGTCCAACTCTTTCCTATGGTTTTGTTCGGCTAATTCCTCCAGGTGTAAAGCCCACTTTTGGGCCCTCCCCTCTCTGATATCGCTCTTCTTTCTTAAAGGGACCACCCGGCTCCCAGCAATCCCCTCATGCACAGCCCCCCCCACACAACCCCAGCAACCCAATGATGGGACCCCATGGCCAGGTAAGAGGCAAACCCTTTCTCTCAAACACCCCTCTCTCTTTCATACCCTCTAAATCCCCCCCTCACTCACACACAGGCTCTTTTTCTTTGCATTCACCTGCTCGCACACTGGCTCCTTCCCCTCGTGCCCTCGGGCCCCGTTAGCTCTACTTTGTGCCGGCTAACTCCTCGTAGATGTCAGCCCCTCAGGTCCCGCTCTGCTCCGTTAATAAAAGCCCAGCATCCAGAGGAGGCAGGGCCCCGATGCTCTCCAAGGCCCCAGATCGGCAGTCCCTGTGTGGGATGAATAATTCACTTCATGCCCCACCCCCGGAGCAGCTTGTGGGGGGTTGCAGACTTATCTGACACACACACACACACACACACACACACACACACACACACACACACACACACACACACACCTCCGCCCCGCTTACTTGTTCTTGCACCTTATAAATAAAACAGGAGACAGGCACTATGGACACGTCACACATGAGCAGTATTTTACTTGGTTTTAGTATTTTACTTAATTTATGTTTTTTTATTTCATTTGAGTGTTTTATTTAACTGTTCACTCTCTGAAGCACTTCTGTAAAAAGTGTATCATTATATACATATTAAACCGATGGGTCCAAATTTCAACTCCAACTTGACACAGAGTTTATAGTTGCTCAAATGCCCAACTAGGTAAGAGGTATTTAATATAGTCAGCCATTATAAACTATTATATTCAGTCAGCGTGTCAACTCTTATCCAGAACGGTAGCTACAGATGCCGAAGTGGAGGTAAAGCTAGCCTTTGCCCATTAACTGCGGCGGCCCGGCTCTTTATTCTTGTGGTTTCTGGTTTCCATCTTGTGTGGACATGCTTCCTGAAGGCTTTTGGACGGTGTTGTTGGCCTGAGGTGTCTCTAACTACGCAGTTAGACCACAGGCCGAATCAGCTTACACCACAGTGAGAGCAGGCAGGGAGCTGTGTGAGCGCCGTCTCTACACACACACACACATTAACCTGCACACACACAAATCTAGGCATGAGTGTGTGCAGAAGCAAGCATTGTTAAAAACAGTAAAATACTGAGTAGCTGTAGTGTGTTTTTGATGTGTCTCGGGAGGTGTGTTGATATTTCAGTGTCGTCCTCCATTCTCCAGCCACACTGTGTCCATCTGTGTGTCCTCAGTGCCGCCCCTGCTGAGTGCTCTTGGATTTGTCAATAATGAAAATGTTGTTTTCTCTGTGTTCCTCTGTTCCCTACCTTTTCTTTCCCCAATCCCCCTTTATTCCTCTTTCCTTCATTTCTTTCCTCAGCCTTTCATGTCACCACGGTATCCAGGTGGACCGCGCCCCGGACTCCGAATGCCAAATCAGGTACTTCAGTAGTTTTTGTTTTTCTCTTGTTTTTTTTATTTCTTACCCACTTTTGTGTTGTTGTGTTGTAGTGAGTGAGTATTGTAATGAGTCCTGTGTGTCCTCAGCCTCCGGGGGGAATCCCTGGATCTCAGCCTCTCCTGCCAAACAGTTTGGAAACGATCAGACCGCAAGGTAAGACCGGGACCTCTCTCGAAACTCTAAGGGGGTTTCTTATTATAAGACATGTTCATTTTGTATAAAGGGGGTTGTCTATGATAGATTATGACTCCCCTATGACTGTGACTTATTATTGTTTACATTATAGATCAATGTTGATTAATTGTTCAACCAAACAACTACTTTATTTGTCCATAAAAATGTATGCATTTATTCCCGTTTCCACCAAGAACGACTACTTTAAAAGAAAGTATATACATATCAGTGTATTAAGTTAAAAATAGAAGTTTTTTTTTTATCATTCCAACTAGCTTAAAAAAAAAGCTATTTTATAATGTGGTCCATTTGAATGTGAAGCAGGTATTTAGTCTTATTGTATGTGATATTAAATTTCTTTAACCCTTAGATGCACGAGTGACTGACACTCTTCCATAAGTGGGTCAAAAAGGACCCGTATTAGAATAATGTGTTTTTATGCCATTTTTGTCATTTTGGTTAAGAAAAATCACTTTATTTAATTACTTAAATTTAATATTTCACTATTTATAATTATAATAATATTTATAAAAACATTTTGAAAAAAAAAAAATTCCATAGAAAATGCATGCGGGTCATTTTTGACCCAATTATGGAAGCTTGAGGCAGTAATACAAAAACTACAATTTCTTAAAATTTAAATTTAAAATGTGTGGTTCGGTGGGTTGGTGTTCGGATCAGGGGGTCACAGGTTCAAACCCCACTGCAGTCAGCATGTCGTTGTGTCCCTGAGACACTTCACCCCAAATTGGTCCTGTGGGGATTGTCCACAGTATTGAGTATGTAAGTCGCTTTGGATAAAATCGTCTAACAAGTGACATGTAATGTTATATCCAAAACATGTTTTTTGAGGAATAGCTGGAATATGAAATGATAACAAAATGTAATTACAAAGATACTTCAAGAAAACCACCTCACCGGGTCGAAAAAGACCCACTTATGCATCTAAGGGTTAAAAGTGTTATTTAACTTGGTCACCCTAATTAGGATTTTGATCCTCATAAGTTATATTTCACCTTCCAGTTTTATGTTTTTATTAACCAAAAAAAGAAGAGCCAAAGAAATTCAGTTCATAATGAAAAAATGTGCAAGAGCTCATTTTGGAAATATTCCGCATTTTAGTTTGACACAGTTATCCTTGCGTCACCCAAAGTGATCACAGTTGATAGCAGCCAGGTCTTTTCTGTTCTATATATCTTAAATCTATTCAGATTGTTGAACAAAGTCAGTTCATTTTTCCTGTGTGCATTGAGCACGGTGTCTGTCTGGCTCAGTGAGGGGTCCGTGGTGATTTTAGCTGCAGATTACAGCTTGAGGGGCCAGCGGGTTACAACTAATGGGATTAGGATGAAGCATTGTCTGCGGCACGTCTTAATTCCTGATTTAGGAGCCATATGTGGATTTACACGAGCCTAGTGGGTTATGTGTAGTGTGTCGCAGTGTGTGAGACTGTGTGTCTGTTCCTGCAGGACATCCTAACATGGGTGGACCAATGAGGATGAACCCTCCTAGAGGAATGGCTATGGGCCCACAGGTATGACCAGCCACACACACACACACACACACACACACACACACACACACACACACACACACACACACACACACACACACACACACACACACACACACACACACGCACACACTTTAGTAGCTGCTAAAAGTTTGAAGCATGCAACTTCTTTATATCAATATTTTGAGATTCTTATGAAATATACACACAATAGTTATGTATCTTTTCTTGAATTGTAGTCTCATGTACCCGAGACAAACAGTCCCAGCTTCACCAAATGCAGGAATATTGTTGAGATTCGATAAAGACTCATTGTTAATTGTTCTTACAATGTTTTAACATTCTCTCTTACAGAATTATGGAGGTATGAGGCCACCTCCAAACTCCATGGGCGGCCCCATGCCAGGAATGAACATGTAAGTTAAAACATATAGCTAGTGGAATTAAACGTCTCTTTGAGTCACAGGGTAATCTCTTGTCTTGCTAGATCTTTTATAACAGTTATTTCTGTTTCATCACTCTTCACACCATTGTCATGGTGCAGTTTGTCACTTGCGTTCTTTCTTCCTTTGAATCTTTCTATTTTCGTTGTTTTTCTTCAGGGGTCCCGGAGGAAGAGGGCCGTGGCCTGGACCGAATGCTAACTCTGTGAGTCAGAAAGCCTTGACCTTTACACATGACCTAAAAATAGGCAAAGAAAGACCTTACTTTTACCTTTAGTGCTCCGAGTGCTGTTGATTTTGTCATTTGTACTGCTTTTACACAAATATCACAATATGTGTCCATCAGTAAGAATGATAAACCTTTTGGCTATTTCTCTGAATGAAAGTGAAATAGACATTTACCATACAAACTCTGGAACAAAAAACTTACTATAGAATTTAAACAACTCATCTTTGACGCAGTCTAAACATGTATAAGCTTCACAAAAGTGTGCACTGGTGTATTGGATTCAAAGTGTTCTTCCTATTCTGTCCACCCTGTATGGATTCACATTCAGTGTCCTCAGATCTGATTATCTGTTTCCTCTCCCCCTGCAGATAGCATACTCCTCCTCATCTCCAGGAAACTATGTGGTGAGTTTGAATGAGTCAAAAAGCAGCTCTCCTGTTTACAGCATTTAGTTGTACTGATACTTGTTTTATATGATTTATATATTACATGATAATTATTGCAGATTACATGATAATTATTGCAGATTACATGATAATTATTGCAGATTACAAATTATAAATAAATCATTTAGGGACAAGGGGGTGAGATTAAATAAGTTATACTTCTTCTCACTCCTTTTCGAACATTAGATGTGGCACTGTTTATGTTGCTAATGCTGTTGTTGTTGTTGTTGTTGTTGTTGTAAATGTCATTTTTTGTTTTGTCATTTTTTTGTTTTGATTTGTTTTACATGACTATGCACTGCAACATTTGTTTTGTTTTTGTAGTTTTACTTGTTCGAAATAAAAATGTATCAATCAATCAAAAAAAGAAATAAATGAATCAATCAATAAAAAAAAAAAAAGAAGATGTATCAATCAATATGATTTCAATTTTAACCTCTATTTCTAATTGTTCCTCAGGGTCCTCCAGGGGGAGGCGGTCCACCAGGAACTCCCATCATGCCCAGCCCAGGTGGTGCGTCAATTAACTATGTCCCCGGCGCTAACACTTGTGTCAGAAATAGATGTGTCTCTCGTTTTCTCCTCTCTAAAAAAGCCTAAATGTGTCACCAAACAATCATTATCAGTGTTTTCATGTCTACTTTTCATTTATTTGATAACATATGTGTGATGAGTGGTTCACATATTTCCTCTTATATCATGTTAGTAAAGTAGTTTTGTTCCTCAGATTCAACTAACTCCAGTGAAAACATCTATACAATGATGAATCCAATCGGACCGGGAGGCAACAGACCCAATGTGAGTATCACACATGATCTAAGTAAACTAAAATCTCTATAATGTTACTTTAAAAATAAAATGTTCCAGATTTCGCAAAAGTTTCAGCAACTGTAGATTGATTTCTTATGGATGTTGTTCTAATGATTACAATTACACAGCCTCAGTGGGCATCAGTACAGTTCAGCATTAGAGAAACAAAATGCTGCAACACTGAGATCTATAAGAGCCGACTGGAAATAAACCAGGAAGAATACATCCAATAACCCGTGTTTTAAAGAACCAAAGTGGTCTAAGATGGTAAATAATACTGCAGTCGTTTATAAGATTTGTTTCACATCTTCTCCCCAGTTCCCTATGGGGCCGGGGCCTGACGGGCCGATGGGAGCTATGGGAGCCATGGAGCCTCACCACATGAACGGATCACTAGGTGGGTTCAAACACAGTGGCTTTACACATCATTGATGGACTTTGATTGACATTCATACAACTTAAACAGTTCTTTATATTGTTTTCACAACCAAACTGTTTCTTTCCCCTCCTCAGGGTCTGGGGATATGGACGGGTTGCCAAAGGTGAGAAAAACTGATTTTCAATAATCTTCTCTGAGCGTTTTGTATTTATTTAGACTCAACACTTTATCGACGCTGTCTCAACATTTCCTTTTTTCTTTTTGTTGTCCTCTCTTCTTCCAGAGCTCCCCTAATAACATGGGGGGCATGAACAACCCTCCAGGAACGCCGAGAGATGACGGCGAAATGGGCGGGAACTTCTTGAACCCATTCCAAAGCGAAAGTGTAAGTAGAGCGAGTGAATGGCATCTCACGACCCTTAACAGTTCTCCTTGACTTCATGACAAACCAATGCAAGCAGAGAGTTCCCTCGTTAGGTCTGTGGGTGTCGATAAAGTTCTATAAAGTCACTATTTTTAATAGTTTGATTAGAAATGGATCAGTGCTTCTTAATAACTGACACTTTATCTCAGAGGCAGTCGGGGGTAACGCGTTACAAAGTAATCACACTCACTGACAGACAAGAGGGGTTTTGGCCGCAGGTTTATATACATGTAGGCCTACGTAATCTGCGCGACTTGCGCGTCCACATCTCCACGTGCAGTGCTGCATAAACATGGCTGAGTCTTTTCATCTGTAAACTCCCTCAACGGGGCCGCTCACTCTCTTTTCTTGATCGCCCTCTCACGGGTGAACAGTTCAATGTCCCGCTTCATTGTAGGAATTCTGCCATGTCTCTACCACTTTAGTTTGACCATCTCTGTTACTAAGTTATGGAAAACTAAATAAATAAGTAATTAGATACCTTACCGTTACTGCGCTCATAAAGAATGATAAGAATAAGAATAATGCGTCTTGAACTGGTTTCATTAATTAGTGTCTTTACGTTTCACAGACTGTTAGCTTGTTTTGGTAGGCTGGTAGCCTATTTTATTAAAGAGCATATCAAAAGAAAGACTTGTGTTATGTCTTCCTTAATGCAATAGTAATTGGGGGTGCAAGTGGAGTCTCGCAGAGGCAAAACTGTGGCGCGCTTTACACTGTAGGTGCGCCGCAGTCTGCCTGTAGGGAGGGGCGGGCCGGCCCTGCGAGTAAAGTAACGAGTAAAGTTTACTTTATGTAGAGAGTAACGAAGTAGTGTAATATATTACTTTTTAAAAAAGTAATATGTAATATATTACTTTTTTTTAGTAACGACCCCATCTCTGCCCTGTGTGTTTTTTCAGCAATTAAAGATATCAAATGATTAAAAAGTAGTTTGAAGCAAAGGTCTTCACTGCTCCAAAATGTGTTATCCAATCCGTCTCAAACTCATTGAAAACCTTGCCAAATCCAACAAGTCAAATTTTAGAGAAAGAAGAACCGAACCAAGGGCAATCGGAGCCCTTTCTGGAAGAGTAGCCCGTACAATAAGAAGACCAGAGAGTGAGCGACCACTTGCATGAGCAGAAGCATGATGTACCCTGCCTTTAACAAGCACCCACAGTAAAAAAGAATAGTGTGATGCGGAAAAAAAACACATTTTATTACTGCAAAAAGAAAACAGGACCCAAAGAGATGGAGCATCATTTTTGAAATAATTTTACAGATTTAGTCTGTTACACGAAACCAAGCAGACCTGTGGGGACCTATTTCAGCACAGGTCTATATACTGGCTTATGCTGTTCCTAAATTGCACAACATGTACATTGTATCGAATAATATACAAAAACGGGGCTTTAAAAGATATCCCATGTTCTGCTTGCATTGTAGCCGCTTACTAATGCATTGTATACCCTCTGCATCAGTGATCAGCTGATTGACACAAATGTCTTGTTGTTGTTAAACAGTTTAGTTTTTTGTGGATGAAGGGTGGGGGAGGGCGTTTCATTTTTCTTGTAAAGTGTAAGATTTAGATGGCCTATGACCCTCGGCCTGCAGAGCCACATGGTGTACTGAATACCTGGATTTAACAAATCTGAAAACATTTAGTTTTTCAAAATAAGAGCTGTTTGGAGGCATCATTAGTGCACTTTCATTCATAACCAAGTGTTGCTTTTTTTAACTACATACTTTTCATTACATTTAAGTTTTGAAATGTTAAATAAATAAATACAAGCATCATAACAATCTTAGGTAGTTTAATATAAATATCTGGTTTAAAGAATGAAGAAACAAGGCTTTATATTGAAGTTTTTTGTGATATTTACAATTTAGATTTTTCCTCAAAAACATTCCTTATTAATAATCAGAAAATGTAATTGCAGTATTGCTGACATGAGTCAGGTGTATTGGAGCCTGTCTGAGTGCTCCTGTGCCTCTGCAGGGCGACAGCGCCCTCTGGTGTTTACATGTTGTCAGTGACACCTCCACTCATCTGTGCCCTCCTCCCCCTTCCCTCTCTCTCTTTTCAGTATTCACCCAACATGACGATGAGTGTGTGATTTTATTTTATTTTCCTTTTTTTGTATTTTTCTTTATTTTCCCCCTCCTATTTTTGTACCCCTGCACCTGATTATTTTTTTTTTCTTTTTCTTCAATTCAAACCTTACTTCACCTCGGATTGGACGACCTCCCCCTCCTCACACACACCCTCTTCCTGACCAACCATACGGGATCCATTTCCCCTTCCTCACTCGGGAACTGTACGGCCACACAGCCTTCTGTGACAGCCCTTGAGCATGCTGGGACTCTAATTAAGACTGGCCCTCCTGGAGCATGCAAGATGGCCGCCGGTCTGAACAGGAAGCAGTCACAGAGCAACAGGAAGAGCCTCCTCTCTGACTCCCGCCCCGGCCTCCCTGGCTTCCTGTCAGGTTCTAGACAATGAGCGAAGGGTAGGAGGACAAACAGAGAGACAGAGGGAGAGGAGACTGTCTCCCCCTCTCAGGAGGACGCAGCGTTTTAGCAGCCGCTTCTCAACCACTTCGGACTTTTATCTTCAATTTGTTTGTCGCTGTTCCACCCGATGGATTCAGTTTGCCCGCCCGCATTGTTCTCTCGGTGTGTACATTTTTACCTGAGGTGTTGTGATTTTTCTTTTTTTCTCCCCCCGTTTTTTGTGTACGTATTGTATCATTGCTATTTTTATTATTGTATTATTGTTATTAATGATATTGATATGATCATTTTTAAGATTAGGTTCTAATTTCTGTTGTTTCTAAGTGCACATTATTTTATTGAAGACACATGTGCGCTCAAATTAGAAATGATTTGCCGGGTAACATGTGAGCACACTCCCCCCTGCAGGTGAGATTTTATCCATCAAGGTACTGATTGGCTCGTTTTAAAAAAAAGTTTTAGCAACAATCTGATTTTAAACTCCTTTTTCAATCATCCAAACCAGAAGAAGAAGTGGCTCCTGTTTTGTTTTTTTCTTTTGATCTTCCATGCAGTGAGATGCACAGCTCTATTTATTTATGTACTTTACATTTGTCTTATGAGTCATTGTTACTTTTTTTTAAAGTGTTATCCCTGGTTTATTTGTTAATTGCAGAACTAGTAGCAACTGTGTAAATATGCAGATCCAGTCAGCAGCCCCTCCATCATTAGACCCCCGTACCCAGGCCCTGAAGGTGCCCCCCCCCCCCCATGCTGCTTCCACTAACGCTGCCCTCTTAGGTTACTGTTCACTCCAACATGTGCGTAGGCTGCGGTATGGCCTCTGCTGAACTGTAGTTGGATTGTTTTTTGTTTTGCTGATGAGCTCCCAACACACTGTGATGTATGTCTGTGCTTTTTGGATATTTGCTTTTACACGCTCTCAGTTCAGCTTGCAGACATGTTGTTGTCACCCGTGCAGCGCTCCCTCTGAAAGGGCTCTCAGCTGATCGAATCCTGGGCGGTTTTTTTAATGTCGGAGCAAAGCAGGAAACGTAAAGGCGTTGCTCTGCTGACTGTGACGAGTGGCCTCCCTCCCTTGGGTCATCTTGAAGAAAAACACCTCCGTCCCTTCCTCACCTTTCCTACGGGCCAGCAAACACACCACCCCTCTCTGATTATCTTTTTTTTTTTTTACAACTTTCCATCTTTTAATTTTAATTTTTTTGTAAATACTGTAAAATGCATTTTGATATCATTGACATGTTTTGATATTTTCAAATCACGACAACAGTTGATCAGAAACGTGCTGATTCGGGGCAACTGTGTGTGTTTGTTCAGAGACATGGTGTGTCTTTGACGATAAGAAACAAACTGGAGCTGCTATAGACTATTATGCTATTTCACCTCATCACTGACAGACGTGGCGCTTCACTGTGCATCAGAGCTGTGGCGTCAAGGGGTCTCAGAGGACGACCATTTTGTAGTGAGTGTGTTTGAACGCCTTTTAGCTGACTCAGTCACACACATTATCTTAACAAATCTTTAAATTAAACGCGATTCTTGAGCAGGAGCCTCCCTCCTCTGCTGTACAGTTGGCAAAACAGTCATATTTTTCACTGTTTGACAGAGAATTTGCAAGAATAGAGCAAAAACAGGCCAGTTTTTCATAATAAAAAGAATGCCACGGACATTTAACTACCCACAATTAAAATAAGCCACAGGACGCTGGCTCTCAGCCCGACACACCAGGTACCAGAGTACAGACTTTACTATGAAGGATTTTTTTTTATCTATTTAAAATGGGGTGGGGAGAAATGTTTTGGGAAAGTAAAGAGAAAAAAAAAATAACAAACAGATTTGTTCTTATTGCTGAGAAGAGGTAGAGAAAGTGCGGGAGCAGGCGTTTCGTCCCCTGTACTTTGAAATACTGTTGTATAAAATGCAGTTGAACTTCTCTATCTTTCTGTCCTGTAAGTAAAACCGTCACAACGTTGATCATTTCTGTATTTCTATTGTGCTGATGTATAATACTGTAACATTCAGGGGTAGGGAGGGTTAAGAGAGGATTTGGAGGGGTGTAAAGATTTTTCTGTTCAGTTCCTCATTTCTTTTCTCTTAATGACAAAGCAGTATTGAATATAAGGCAGTCTGTCCCCGGGGGGTTGCTTTGTATCTCATGTTAGGGTAGTTTCAGATCCTAAATGTCTCGTGTAGTAAAATGAGAGGTTCCTTCTTCGTACGTTTCTTTATATTGTAAAGTTTCTTTAGACAAAAAAATGTTGCTTATTGGAAAAAAAGGTGGGAAAATGCATTGATAATAAATGTAATTCTTTTGGGGTTTTGTTTTAATTTTCATCAAGTTGTCAGTCGTTTTTGCCTGTGTCCCCCTTGTTGTAGATACATATTAAAAACAAATAAAATGACTTCACTCCTTTTGCCATGAACATGACCTTCTTTCACTGGACCTATTGGTTGGGATTTGCCTTCAAAAAATGTAGTATTTTTTACTTTTCTTCTCGTAATCAAGTGAAAGCACATTTCCTACCAAAATGTTTACATTTCTACATGTTTTCTAAAATATTAGCTTTTTAGAACAGGTCACAATTCAAACAGTTGGGCAACCATCGGATTAAAATATGTGTTTGACAGCCATGGGTTTAAACAACCTTATTTAATAATATTTTTTAAATAATAGCTGTTTTATTGTTGTGTTAGAAAAATGTAAAGGTTTTCATTCAAAGATGATAAAGCAATAATGGCATGTACTCAGATATTTGTAGTGGGCGTTGGACGCGGGGGTACGCCGTACCCCCACTTATTTGAAGCATGATTTCTTTTTTTAATAGTCTAATACATCTAAAATCATTGCCAGTGTTATCAGTTGCAAGTGTGTGTTTGTTGTATTAATGACGAAAACATAATGGGCCGATTTCACAGTAATTATAATAAAAACGTAGCTCAAGCATTTATGCAACTTGATTTGAAGCGTGTGTGTGTGAGGGGCAGAACCGTGTGTGTAGGGTGACCAGGTGTCCCGTACTGTGCGGGACTGCACACACAGCATTTTTATTATTTTTCCCGCGTCCGGTCCCACACATTGAGACTATGTCCCGCATTTGAGTGATAGTAGCGCAGAAAGGCCGGATCGGTTCGCTGACAGCCGGCACCGCCCTTTATTATTATATTGTCTAAACGGCATCATGTAAGTTGCGCTGACAGGCGACAGTTCACGAGCGCGAGTGTCTCCCGTCCACCCACCACCCCGTCCACCCAGTAAAAAAATCCCCACTACACCACTGGATATTTGAACCGGGAAACAGAAGTTCATCTTTACATTTTTGTGAAAAAAATTACAAATAAACAATTATAGCCTATTTCAAACAAATAAATGACAAATAAAATAAATTGATGAATTTCAGAATTCAATCTAAACCATAATACTGACGCAGACATACAGGCACAAACATGGCAATAAGTGCTTTTATTTTTGCCCTTCTGTTACCATTTTAGAGGCTTTTCTTTTAAAGAGTGTCAACTTTACCACATTTTCAGATTGCTGTTTGAACTTTAATGATGTTTCCTAATAGACTCTCGAGGGATGAATGCCTAAATTGTTTCTCCTCCTCTGATCTGGTCCAGCTGTACTGAGTGGCGGCGCAGCGACCTCTTGCTGCAGCAGGAGGCACGAGGAGCTGCCAGGGAGGAGCAGGAGGAGGAGGGCAGGAGACGGCGGAGTCTTACAGGGGCTCTGGGTGAAGAGGAGCTGGGCGGGTGAGGCAGAAACACCATGCTCCTGCTTTGGGGAATGGGAACCTGTAGATGGGAGTCTGATTGGTGGACTAAGGGTGGGAGTTGAAGTGGAGGAGGAACCACCATGACGGAGGGGAGGGTGTTCCTGCGGAGCTGGCAGTGGGGAGGCAAACAGGCAGGAAGCTTATCAACACCGCTTTTCAGGGTGGTGGTGTCAGAAGTTGAACCTCCGGGCATCAGACACCTCTTAGGGAAGAGTCGGCTTGCTGTTGCCTGAGATGAGCTCACCTCCGTCAGGGAGAGGGCTGACTGAGACAGCCTCGGAAGAAAAACCTCTCTGTTGTAATTCTCTCCTCCACATCTGTAATCCCTCCTTTGAAGCAAACCTTCCTTCCTCTCTTCCCCCCTGGACTGATGAAAGTGTGGCTCCTCTCCTCCCCTCTCTACAGTCTCCCATATTGAATCCTCTCTGCTCCCCTCCCCACCCCGCAGGCTCCTCTCCATCAGGCCCTCCTCGTAGGCCCGGTTCAGGGAGGCCAGGTTGTGGATGGCCAGCCACGGTTCAGATAACATCCTCTGTCTGGGCGGGGGGTGGCTGCTCTGGCCCAGCTCACAGGAGGGAGGTCTGCCACTGCTGCTGCTGCTGCTGCTGCTGCTTCCTCTTGTGTCTGATGTAGGGGAATAAGACAGAATGAGTGAGAAGCAAACATGTGGAAGAATTTGAGATTAACTGTGTCTCCTTTTGCATTTTGCATATCCTCTCCCTCACCTTAATGGATTTGTCCTTATCCTAAACAAAGGTCAAAGGATAGAGGGTGTTGTATGCTGTACAGATGGCAAAGCCCTTCTAAGGAAATGTGTTATTTTGGACTCTACAAAGCAAACATACTTCATTTGATGATATATCGACATTTTAATCTGAATCGATTTACACTAAGTGGAATCAACCATGAGGATACATATTCAGAGCAGCAAGAATTATGCTGGTATAGTACAAACATAGTATTTATTTTTGTATAGATTGTATTGGCCAAGGTGCACTCAAAACACGTGTTTCTTAGTCTGTGACTTCATACTAATTCTATAGGTTTCTGCTTTGTGTTCACGCCAGAAAACTGCCAAAACAAACAACCTTACACCAGTTTGTATTATTACAAAATGGCCTATTATACTTTCTGGCACTGCTGATGTACACTGTTCTCCCAAAATGCAATGCCAGAGGGAAATGGAGGAGCTGTGTGTGTTTAATCGCCAGTGGCATTTTAAACCAGTACAATGAAGATTAATATAAAGTATATACTGCATACAATATGCATTATTAAAAAATAACACAGCTTTTACTTCCACATTCTATTCTAACTGTATTCAAAGAGACCGTTGTTTGTTTCTACGGGATTAATGAAGTATCAGTTCCTCTGTAGCCTAAGAAATGTGGCTTCTTTCATTAAAATGCACCACCAGAATTACCTTCACCTCACCCTGACAACACATTTCATCTGCTGTCCTCGGGAATGAGCACTCAGCTAATGATTGCAACCACCAGGAATTTGCTCTCATCCGTCTAGACTTGCCTTTGTTAAACACTGCACAGCTACATACCCAGAGACACAGATCTGCATACTGAGTACTGCTGGTGCTACTGATCTCCACATCAAGGTGGAGAACCCAGAAAACATCCACAATATAACACTGATCCAATGTTAGGATCCAGGTTGTTTGCTGAATGAGGATTACACAGGGCTATTTATCCTCAGGTGGAGTTGTTAATGTAAATATAGATTATTAGCACTCTGCTATCTATGTTTTGAGATTTTTTTTTTGTGGGGTTTTGCATGTTTTGGTCTAAGATGTTCTAATCAAATGTCTGCTTTTCTCTATATACCAAGTACAAAGTCAGTTGTGTGGTAATGTGTACTTTCTATTGAAAAACACTCAGCATTACTCACCACCAGTTCCTCTGAAGTTGAAGATGTTTTCTCCCTCAGGTGAGTTGGGGGAGCCCGTCTTGAGGATGATGTCGGACGGGGACATGCAGGACACCGGCGAGGAGTCAGGAGACGGTGTAACGTTCAGGAAACGCCTGGTCACCGGGCCTCCGTTCACATTCACCTGTGTGGTGATGATGATGATGTCACGACCCCTCGCCCGGCAGGCATCCATCAAAACCTGAAAAACACAGATTTGATGGTGCTGCTTACTAACTCTTTATTGTATTCGTAATAGTTGGTAATATCAGTATCAACGCTCAGATTTGAACGGATTTAATTATCTGAAAAGAGTCAAATCTGTAGGGAGTAGGATTTTTGAGACATCTAGTATGTTTACTTGAAACAAAAGTGACTCGTTCCTTTTCAAGTTAAGATTACATACACAAATTATAACGTATTATGCATTGTTTGTACCTAAAAAATCAGCACCCTTATGACAGGCAACACCATTAAAAACACTCCCAAGAAATTACTACATAAATAACTACAAACCTTATTAGATACATTATGTATATCCGTACATAGTTACAAAATAATATGGTACATTTCTTTAATGCAGGACCTTTACCTATAGTGGGTGTAACTTTACATTGTGGTATTTGTAAGTATGTTAATGCTGAGTTTCTTTGCCTCTCTGTTTCAATAAACACATCCTTCTCTAACATAAACAAATCAATCTTTCCTATGTCCCCCAGCTGTTCAGACCTTCAGTGTGGGTTGGTGCTGTGTGTTGACGGCGTACACCAGTGCTGAGGCCCCGGAGTGATCCTCCATGCTGGGGTCGGCTCCTGCAGCCAGCAGGGTGGACGCCACCTGAGCTCCTGCCCGCTCCATGCAGGCGTACATCAGAGCGGTGCGTCCGGCCCGGTCCTGGGCGTTCGGCTCTGCCTGATTGGCCCAAAGGATTACAGTTACATTACATGTCACTTGTTAGACACTTTTATCCAAAGCGACTTACATACTCAATACTGTGGGCAATCCCCACAGGAGCAATTTGGGGTGAAGTTCTTGCCCAGGGACACAACGACATGCTGACTGCAGTGGGGTTTGAACCTGCAGAACCCCCTGATCCGAACACCAACACACAACCCACTGCACCATACATCTCCGTTGACAGTCAACAATCAATGTCAGGACCATTGATTGGTGTGCATTTGGTGTCTTTCAATTTTGTTTGCTAGGAAATCAAGTGTCAATGTTGTATATCATTTGCTTATGAATACACGTTCAGCTCACTTTTTTAATGAAATCTGATTCGTCATTGATTAGTGAGAACTTTGTATTAGACAGTCTAATGCACAATCCTCCATGTGAACCTATTCAATAAGCATCTTCCCTCAGATGAGTTGTGTTCTCCAGCAGAAGAAATGTCTGAAATGTTCTGAAGAGGTGGATCGAGGACAGAAGCAGAGCTGGGATAATCAGAAAGTTGTTTACAATGCATAAGTACCACCTCTCCCTACTGCTAGGACACATTTATTATGCATTAGAAATATATCTAAATCAATGAACTGTTGAGCAAGTGGGAAAACTTGAATTCCATAGATTGCATTTACGCAGTATTCTAAGTTGAAAGTTGACTGACCTTGTTCTGCAGCAGGTAGGAGAGGAGTTTCACCGTCTCAGGCCCACCAGGCTCCCCTCTCAGGGCCTTACAGGCAGCCAGGAGCGGGGTCTCTCCTTTGGGGTTTTGCCTGTTGACCTGAGCTCCCCCCTCCACCAGCAGGCGGACCAGCCGCAGCTTACAGGAGGCTGCTGCACTGATGAGGGGGCTGCAGTCGGACAGGGGGTCTCCCATGGCCTGGAGGGTAAAGGGAAGTCAGATTCAATGTTCAAATTACAACAGCAAAACATGTAAACTACATTTAATTATAATAATCATAGTCTCCTGATCATAATCTTTTATCAGTTTTTAAGCCTTCAACAAAAGAAAATAAATATTAAGAAAACGTGATGTGTTCAAACAAACTAAAGTCCTCATTATCTCTTTATGTATCCGTTAATAAGATCAAAAAATGAAAGAAATATAAACATCAGTGTAGGCTGGTATTGATTCAAGATATTTCAATTAAAGTAAAGGTTGCTGATCTCACATGCTTGAAACATTGAAATGTACATGGCATACAGTATTGAACAGATGCAAACACATTGACAGTATGGATAGTGAATGTTATACTCACCTTAACGCTCTCTCTTCAGTGCTTTTTGTATCTGTTCCTCTTCTACAAACAAGTAGATTGTTTATTCAGATGGTGCCATTATTTCACGTTATCCTTTAAAAGGTTTAACCCCGCTCTTGTATGAAGCGTCCTCATGTTGCTGGCCTGCAGCAAACTGCAGAACATAAAGTGAGAGGATACTAACTTTCATCTTCTCCCTCTGTCTGTGACCCTCTGTCCTTCCTCTCTCCTGATCCGTCTCCCCCCCTCCTGCTGGGTGGAGGGGAGGTTGGGCCCCACAGCCACTGTTCAAAGTTATAAATGGTTTTAAGCCTAAATGTCACCTGTTGCAGACTGTGAGCTACAAAGACCCCGAGGCCCTTTGATATATGTCAGCTTTGAACAGTTCCGTTCTGACTTGTGCCCACCGTCTGTGTTCAAACACTGGCAGAGAGAGACAGATGAGACACACACAATGAATTTCCAAATCATACGCACCAATGTCAAATGCATAAAGAGAAAATGTGATGTGCTTGTTATGTCTATTTTTCATTCTTCATGTCTTTTGTTCTCTGTAAAGCACTGAGCTACTTATTTAATAAATAAATCCGACTTAATTCATTCACTTTAATTTAGAATGGCCAGAGTACAAAAAAGACAGACTCTGAGTTTGTGTGAGGCCAGGAAAACAGGTTTCTTCAGCAATTGAAAAGTATTTTTCAAAGTCAGTCATTTGATTTATATTTAAATATGAACAAATAAAAAAATCATTAAAAAAAATAAAGGATTGTATCATGTGCTCCAATGTTTACTTCAGTATTACAGTATTTCAGTATTTCTATGCAATATTTTCATCTAGAACCCCAGAGGAAAATATTACAAATCCAGTGAAATATCTTTTTCATTGTTTTATGTGTTTTGCAAACATAAAGAAAGATGATTGACCTGAACAATAAATTGTCTTCATGTGAAAGAGAGACAATTACCGCGTGTTTAGAGTAGGGGTTAATAAATAAATACATTTTTTTTTTAAATTGTTTAATACATAAATAAATATGAATGACCAGACAGAGAAGTGAAAGAAAGTCAATTAGCAGAGTGAGAGGGGAGGCACATAAAGCAGAAGTGGTTACGTTGGTCCTACGTCATGGTTTATCTATGTCTCTGGGCCAATGAAATCCCCTCATCCGTCATGACGTAACGCGATCTACTCCAGAATAGCGCGCGGCAGAGGAGCAGCCACACGGACCCGCTCAGCCCTTTCTCTCTGGATCCTGTCGTCAATGTTTGTTTATGTGGCATTTTTTTGTTCCGGAATAAGTCTGATAGGGGGGAGTGGGTGGCGGGATGTCTGCTCTAAAGGAGAACCAGTGTTACGGTTTATCCAGCGGTAAACTGAGCAACGGCGCTAACGTCTCTGTTTTTCATGTAAAACTCACTGACAGCGCGGCAAGAGCCATTTGCTCCTTTCAAAGCGGCAAGGTAGGTTATTTCTTTAACTTCTCGAATAATGTACAGTTACTGGTAATATTGTAACCACTTAGTCAAGGGGAAACATACTTAAACAGTTATAAGGGAAAAAAGGCGAGGAAGGTGGGTTCATTCCTGCCTAACTTCACCAATTCGTCGGCTGTTGTCTCCTACATGCCCCCCTTTTAAAGCTATGAAATAATAACATGTTGCATAATGCTATGCGGAAACGCTTCCCCAGTGTGGTGGCAACAAGCTGCTGGCCAAGTGGTTACAAGCTGCTGTATACAAGTATTATGAATGTTCATAAGAGGGAGAGCGAGAGAGAAGAAAGGAAACTGGCTGTAGGGGGGAAAAGGAAACAAGGCTGTTGGGGGGGGGGAGAATTAGCTTTGATTGCTTTTGAGGAATGGAGCCATTTTAGTTGTAAACATGAATGAAGTTGCAGCCTGTTTATCTTCATTGTAGCCCCAGGGAAACAGATGATCAGATTGAAATACTAACATATGACCCAGTTAATCATAAATGAATCAGACACTGCAGGAAGGACAGTCACACACACTTCCTCTATTCTTGTTACACAATTAGGAAACTCCTGAGTAATAACGTCAACCCTTTTATTCTGTTGAATTATGAAAACCACACTGCTCCTTTCATGCTTTGTAATACTATGACACAGGAAGGAAGGGGAAACACCTAACACTGAGTTTTACATCCATACAATACTGTTGCTGTGCATATATCTAATTTCTTTATTTAGCTTTAAGTGTGGCTATTCATAACCCACTTGGCCTGACCACACAGACAAAAAAAAAAAACACCTCTACATGCACCCAGGCCAAACTGAGTGCTGGCAGCCACCTCACTGTCTGCACTCATCAACAGGTGGACTCACACGTCCTCTCCTTGGAAAGGTTAATCAGATTCTAGTCATCGCAATCGCATGGTTTCCATCTGTACCGCAGACGTGTCACTTTGGGACCGTCATTTGTACCGGTTCCTGCAGGCTAACTGTCCCCTGTGAGAGATGACAGGCTGTTATATTTCACTCTGTTCGCCATATTCTAATGTGACAAGCTGCTGGATTTGAGCAGCAGGTCGTAATGACCTCTGCCAGTGCCCTCTTATAAAATCAAACCTGCATTTTTTTAATTGGCACATGATGCAGAGGTTACAGGATACTCCAGGCATCCCAGGAGGTGCCTTGTGGAGTTCATTTGAGCAAATAGATTGTATGATTTGGTTAAAAAATGAAATAAATGTATCTGTGCTTAGGGGGAATAAACTAAGTGGAATTGCAAATTGGTGTAAGGCTAAGGCTCAGTAGTGCACCGATCAAGTCAATACACTTGATCAATATTTGTGAAAATACAAAGGTTAACGACGGAGGCGTATCTTTTCTCAGTCACTCTGAGTCAATACAGTTCTTTGAAGGTTTTTCTGAAAGAGCACTCCACAAATGTTGCTTTGCATTTGTCAGGAAGCAAACATTCACCAGAGATGTTTAGTTTTGACTTGTCAAGACTGCACCTACATTACCCACAATGCAGTTCAGTAAGACATGCTAGTTGTGGCTATTGTAGCCTTGATCAGCTAGCCTCCAGCTTGTTTCGAACTTCACAACCCTGTTCTGCCACAACGAACACTTAATCAAATGTTATAACTTCAGGCAACGTATCGGATTCCATGAAGCTCCTTCTAGAGCCACCACTTTTAGTTCATGTACAGGAGTGTCTTTCCATACTTGTAAACAGTCTTAAATGTCTAAACTTAGAGTTCCCTTTACATTCATGCTCACTTCAGTCCACTTAAGCAATGAATGGCCTTCATGAAAATGTTCCAGTAACTTCTGCACAGTGAAGGGAAGAGATTACCATTTTGGAAATAGATAGCCTTGCATTGGTATCATCTGAGTGGACTTAAAAACCCTTTATACCAACCTCTGTCGTCTGGTACTCTATGTTCAGACAGGAAGAACACCGCCCTACAGTCAGAGAAGTACGCAGGTTGAGCAATAGCAGTAATAAAACCACAATGAAGGAAGAAGGAGTACACAACACAAAACATCCTCTGTGTCGTATGTTTTGCATCAAATGTTCTGGTGTGTTACCGTGTGTGTTTGTGATTGAATAAAATGTAATGATTTGTCTCTTTCTTCAGGCTGGGTCTTCCCGTTCCACCATCAGTTTTAATGGCAGCAAAGGGGTAGGATGAACTGGTTGACCTGTCGACGTTGTTAAATCAATCATTTCTTCTCTGGCAGGAAGATGTGAAAGACGTTGAATCTAATTGTCTGTTTTTGTCTCTTTCATGTTGCAGAGAATCTCCGTCCCCTGCTCGGAGAACAAAGACGACTGCAGGACCTTCACCTTTGGCGTGACGAGCGTCGCCCGTGATAATCCCAATGGAAGCTTTGACTGCTTCCAACAGCTTCGCACTGGGTAAAACACAACAAATAATCATTGATATAGTCAAAACAAATACTTAGCATCAGTTGAATGGATGGAAAGGTGCACCATTTTGATTTAAATGCAAAGCAATGATGCTCTTGAGAATGTTATGCTCCATGGAGGTTATGTATTGAATTCAACACCTAAGTGTAGTTATGTGTTTACTCACTGTAGTAAACTTGGCCTCAGAATAAGTTCCAATATTTATAAAATGTCTCCTTCTGTGTGAAAGGCACCCTGCTGCTAACTGTCAGACTCTTTAAATGTCAGACCCTGGGTGTCCCGACTGCACCGGACTAGGAAGTCTGGAAATTCAGCGCCGTGTTTTTGATAAATGCCAAGACTTGCCTAAAGTTTAGAAATGATTAATTGCATCTCCAGTTTGACTGCCGACACAAATGCGGCAGCAAGCTTTGGAGCTGTTGCCAAAATGACATATTCGATAAACAATAATAAACTACACATAAATGCTATGTATTTTGTAGTAGAGAAAACCAGCTGATGGAAGAGTAACTGGATGCATCAATCAAACATATTCACACTCAAAACGATTGATCATTTTGAAATATATAACGTGTAGAATGAGTCCTGAACGCTCTGTCGGATCGCTGTCTTTACCCGCTGTCCTCCCTCCTCTCAGTGTTGACGAGGAGCTGTCATGTCTCGGGGTGATTCAGAAAAAGATGACAGTGAACGCTACAGATGACTCGTACGATAAGGCTCGGCAGAGCATGGCTCAGGCTGAGGAGGAGACGCGCAGCCGCGGGGCCATCGTCATCAAGCAGGGGGGGGGGCGCTTCCAAGGTAGGAAACACTCACTTGTGCAATCTGCTCCATTATACAAGAGATAACTCCAGCTGGGGAATAAGAATGGCCCGAAGACAAATGTGTACTGTGCTGCTGATAAAAGCCAAAAAAGAAAAAAAAGCCATGTTGCATTGGTTGCCATAGAAACATGTGTGGTAATCAGTGACATGGTAACAGTCAGTGTTGATTTTCTGTTTGTCCTTTTTTTCTGCCACATTTCTAAATAACACACACATTAAAATACAGCCTTGTATACATTGTTATTTAAAATAATGCAGTGATTTTACTGAGACTTTTCCAAAAACATACGTAGAGAGGCTGTATTCTGTCTACCAAAATATACCTCCACATGATAAAACCGGTGATTTAGTTTTTTTTCGCGTCACAGTGGCTTACTTCTTCTAGCCACCAAACCACTTCCTTCTAAAGGGATATGTTTGCCCCCGTCATCTTGTTTCAGTGAACGCACTCAGACATACACATACTGGATGTGATGATTTTGTCAATTCAGAGGAAGCTTGTACAAAAAAACACTTCCTCAACCACTACAGGCTTTTGCTACTGTGGTTATTTCCTAAATTAGATAGCAGCTTTTGCTCACTGAGACTTGTGTGAATGCTTGTAACCCGAATGTGGGTTTTCTGAAACGAGGTTGTTTCTCTTTTTATCCACGATTTCCGCCCCAGGAAAGATACAACCCCGCTTTTAAATTCTCTTCCTCGGGCATCTGATCCTGCCAGATGTAGCTTTAAAAGCGCTCTTTTGAAGCTGTGGTCTCACACATTTAAAACTGGGATTTATGTTCAACCTAGTCACTTTTTTTAACCTTAGACAAGCACCAGAATATTTGAGCTTTTTTATGGCAAAAGCTGCTTTTGATGTGAGATTTCCTGCTCTTTTTGCAGGTAAGAAGGTGACGGTGCGAGCCCCGAATCCCGCGCTGGCCAGCCTGGCCAAACCCCAACAGTCGCCCCAGTCTCTCCTCGGCAACATTAAGAGGCGTGTCCAAGTTGCCGTGTCCAAGCCGAAGAAGTGTGCTTCACACAGGAAGAGTGTTGGTGACGTGCAGGAGAGGCCGCTCAGGGAGAGAGTCACACATCTGTTGGCCCTGAGGCCTTTCAAGAGGCCGGAGCTCATCTTGAGGCTGCAGAGAGACGGACTGACAGCCAGAGACAAAGACATGATGGACTCTGTGCTGATGGAGGTAATGTATTCCTTTAGCTAGATAGAGGTCTAAATCAAGTATAGCAGTTAGATAACAGAACTGTGACCACCACATCCTCTACATTATGCGGATCAAACACTGTCACCGTGAAAACAATTTAAACGGATCAAGGAAAGTACGTGTTTTCTCACTGGGTTTATTCTTGTGTTTCTGTGTACGCAGGTTGGTCAGCTGAACATTAGAGACAAGACATTTGTCCTGAAGGACGCTGTGTATAAGGAACTGCACAAGGACTGGCCAGGCTACACCTCAGGAGACCAGCAGCTGCTGAAACGAATCCTTGTCAGGTAACACCACCATGTTCAGATCGTAGCAGCATATCAAGAACTGTGAGGATCATACTGCTCCACAACGACGGAGAGCACTGACTACAGAGTGTTCAGGCTAGGGCCATATCACAATGTCAATCAAACAGATGTCATGAATTAAGATACAAATTATAATTCATATTTTACCTAATATGTATAGACTGTGTTTTTGCAGTTGACTAAATATGCCATACAAAAAACTAAATGACAGTAGTCTTAAGTAATCTATTGTCTTTATTTATCATCTTCTATATTTCTGTGCAGGAGACTATTTCAGCCACAACAGAACCTCCTCTCCGTCCCAGAGGCTCAGGTCAGTCCACTCAGAGATACCCCCAACTCCTCCCCGGCGCGCCGCCCAAAACCCTCCCTGCCAGAGGAATACACCGACCCTTTGGCCAATAAGAAGCCCAGGATATCCCGCTTGTCCTGCAAAACAGCTGATGTCAAGTCAAGAGCGAGGCGGTCAGAACAAGCAGCTTTTAAAGACGTCACAGAAGCGACAGGGAATGGCGGGCAAAGGAACTCTCTTGATTCTCGAAAGCTCTCAGACTCTCTGTCAGCAGCCTGTCAGCGGGAAGTGGCCGAGAGGCTAGAACCAACTCTGGTTCTTCAGGAGGAACCCAAAGTCACAGCAGACTCCCCTCCACCCAACTCTGATCTCCCTCCCTCTCCTCTGACGGTGACTGATCTGCACAGACACACCATCAAAAGGAAGAAGAGCAAACACAAGCACAGCGATCAGGTTAGGAAACCACTTTGTATTTAGTTTATGGCTTTTCTGTTTCACGTGATCCATTAGTAATTGGGGCTTTTGTTTGTTTGTTAAGGAGAAGGAGAAGACGAGGGACAAGAAGAGAAGGAAGAAGGATCACAGCTCAGAGGATCCAAACGATAAAGTGTCCATGGACCGCATAAGTGAGTGCTGTTAGCTGTCGACTAGTAGAGGATTTATACTCCTGTCCCATGACGGAGCAAAAACCTTATTCCTATCCCGTCCCAATACTGGAAGAATGACTTGTGCTTCTGTCCCCTTTAGTCACATTAGAACTGCATATTCAAACTGCCCTATAGAGAGGCGAAGTCCCGCCCATCTACTTCCGACCCATGGGACCTTATTTCGTGAAAATTATGTATTGAAGTAAATGGGGAGAGAAAACGTATCTTTCGATCCCGTTTGAATTGTGCCACGAATNAACGCGTTTAGACCTGCAAAGTGAGATCTTCGGCAGTACTTAGATACACAAATAATACTACTTTCGTGATAAGCTAAGCAACAGTCTAAAGTCAAAATAATACATATTTCAATCACTAATCCCACCCACAACAACCACACACACCATCCAACATAAGCTACCCCTCATACCCAACATCCACAAAATTCTCAGTAAAGCTATACCCTGACTGGAGACACCCTGGTTACTCTTAATGTATGTAGAAAAGAAAAAAAAGCACAATCATCCACAAAGTGTGGAAAAACCTGCACTAGTTTTTCTTCCTTCATTTCATGTATCTCTAATGATGCGTCAACCGTTGGAAGTACAGCTGAAGAAACAAATCCAGGGCTCGTAAGCAAAATTAATACAATCTACTTGCAGTCCAATAACTATCTTTCAGCGATCTGAACAACTCCCTCCGCATGGGTTACAATGCACTTGTGGAAGTGTCACCATGTTTGAGCTGATTTTGCAGAATCACACACTAACAAACTTCCCTCATCTCCCAAAGACTGATGACATGATTGGAGAGGCGGCACACGATTCAAACCATGAACCCCCCCCCCCCCCCGTAAGGTGAAGTTCTCCGCTCGCCGCGGGGAAGCCCGCTCAGACCACTTAGGCTAACCGTCGGTTAACAGGTGGGAACTACCTGAACCCACCGAAACCTCCTGTGATAAGAAGAGGCAGCGCTGAGCGCTTCAATCATTCAAAATCATATTAACGGCCCAGTGCGCATGGCACAACAGAGTAAAAAAGAATACAGGGAAAAATCAAAAGGGCTGTTTACTTTGTCGTTTTTACTCTGTGTTAAATGAGACGCATAACTTCTGGCAACATGTCTTTGCTTAATGTTTCAAAAGGCACGCTGGGAATCATCATCAGCGGCTTTCCATTTTATTTAGCATCCAACCCAAATTCATCCGATTCACACACACAATCCTTTGGAGATTTTGTGGCAGCTGCTCCTCACTTGTTCAAACACTGTGGTTCCGCCTGTTTATTAAAGTTAATTGTATGATCATTTTGTGGAAATGTCAATGGTGTGGCTCTTCAGTCAGCGTGACTGCACACAAGAGCCACCTCCTCTTCTGTTAGAAGAAGGTTAGAAGTGTGAAGGGAGGCTATTTACTAATGTATTCTTAATGTATGGTCTGTATTGTATATACTTGCGTTTGTGTAATCTGTATAATTAAACAAACCAATGCCGTGAAAATAAAAAATAAAAAATCCCTTTATGAAAACAAAATTTTTTTTTTAAATCCATCTAAGCTCCAAACCGTCTAATGTTTAAGACTACCCATCGCCCACCCCATTTGTACACCTTTCTTCAGCCATCTATATATCCATGCTCTTTCATTATTATTTTCTTACACTTTTTATGCCATCCCATCAATCCCATTTGTGTAACTATTTTATTTGTCTAACCATCCCAAAATATTAAACTACGCTATCCAATCCACTCCTCTTGCTCCATGCAATTCATCATTATGTATCATCACATGCTCTCCATCCATCAGTTTCCTTTCATCCAATCCCATTCAGTCCGTCCATCCAAACTTGTTAAAAAAATCCAACACTTATCTTAGAATCCACCCATTGTTTGACCATAAATGTACCATCTGTTCAGTTTTGCCATCCCCATCCCCCATGGTTGTTTTTGTCCCTCTGAACCCATCCATCTATCCGCAATTCGTATGAACCATTCAGATACATAGTCCTACTCATGCATCCACCCATCATCTGTCCCTTGCTCAATCCGCGTTTTCATCCATCCATCCCATATCCTTTATCCTCCCCACCATCACCTTCAGTCATATATCCAAATTGTTCAACAAATCAATAAAATTATATAGAGAGTAGCGAAGTCACGCCCATCTACTTCCGGTCCATGGGACCTTATTTCGGAAAAAGTATGTATTGAAGTAAATGGGGAGAGAAAACGTATCTTTCGATCCCGTTTGAATTGTGCCACGAATTACACATATGATGTTTGTCAATCTTAACAAATCATTTCCATGTCAAAAAAGTCACAGTTTGTCGTAAAACTGCTGAAATATAAGACTATGAAAAATACGCAACTAGAAAGACTACAAATCCCAGAATCCCAGTCCCGCATGCTGGCTCTTGCGGAACCGACTAACTCCCCTTGTGTGTGTGCACAGCTCTCAACATGCCCAGACTTGGAGGGATTTTCACCTCTTTTAATACTTTTCGCCTCATTCTGAAAGAAAGAAGTGAAATGTGCTAATGTGACGCCATCTTGGTGTTGGTGCGAGACGGGAGATGTAGTTCATTGAGCGGTTTCACACAAACAAAAGTGTTACTTCACAGTTTTACGACACATTTGAATTGTTTTGACTTGCAAAATTATCTTTTAAATTGACAAACATCATATGTGTAATTTGTGGCACAATTCAAACGGGATCGAAAGATAATCTTTCTCTCCCCATTGACTTCAATACATAATTTTTCCGAAATAATGTCCCATGGAGGTCCCCCGGAAGGGGAGGGACTTCGCCTCTCTATTGTTATATTCCTGTCCCGCTCCCTTTTTATTTTCTTCTCCCAAGTGAGCCACGTGATTAATAGTGACATTTCAAACAACAACAAAATATCAGACAAAGACTTTAAGTGTCAATTGTTTCATATTTTCACAATGTTTGACATTGTTTCATTTTCTTTCAGAGCCCAGCGACATTTTGTTTCAATCTAGTGTGCTTCAAGAAGACAATGACGCAGAAGACTATTTACTGTAAGTACACAAACAAGACACAAACCTTTTACTCTAACAAATTGATCAAATAAACCATTTCTAGATCAAAAAGGTAGTTGATCAGTGTTGCATAGGAGATTTTCTGTCCATGATCTCATTACCAACATTGTTTAGCAGTTCAAATCAGACTTGAAGCACAGTGTACTGTAGGTGGGTACTGTACTGGTCTGATCCCCGCTCTTTTGTGTTCTCTGCACAGGACGTACACAGCCATTTGCAGCCATGACAGCAGACAGAGCTACAAGAAGGACTTCAACACGGAGTACAGCGAGTACAGAGATCTCCACGCTCGTATTGACGGAGTGACACGGCAGTTCATGGAGCTGGACGCGCAGCTCAAAGAGCTACACCACGGAACGCACAAATACAAGGTAAAAAACAACAAGAAATGCAGCTCTTCATTTTATGATCTCTGTCAAATGATAGTGCGTTTACATGCTTCAAATTGCTTCAAATTTAGTTTAGAGAAAAACTCGTATTACTTGCAAACATATTCTCCATGTTCGAATCTTCATCTCATAAAAATGATCATTGATCATCTCTGTTGCAGAGAGCACATCACACCCTGAAGTGTTCCTGTGTTGTTCTCACATTTATCAAATGTTATTATTGAATTTCCAACCTCATTTAATTAATATTTGAAGCCATTTTTTTCGCAGAACTAAATGGTTTGAAATTATAGTAGAGATGATTTAGGTTTTGTTTTCCATCATATTCATATTTTTGTGAATGCTGCATAACATAAACAAATGTATTGATTTATTTTAAGGCCTAATTCATTTTATGTTTCTCTTGCAGACGGTTCGCAATCAAATTCTTCAGGAGTATCGCAAAATTAAAAAGGTAACACATTTTTCAAAGCAGCTATATCTTCCCTATCTTGCTGCACTGAGGAACTCCACTCCTCTTTTTCATTGTTAAATACTTACACATTGTCCTTTATTATTTGTCTCCCTTTTAGTCCAACCCTAACTACAACAAGGACAAGACTCGCTGTGAATATCTACACAACAAACTGGCCCACATCAAGAAGCTCATATCAGAGTACGACCAGCAGCAGCTCTGACTGTTGGACCGGTGAACTCCAGAGAGAACAACAATCATCCTGACGGGTTCACCACGCTGAGCTGAAGCAGAGGACTGAGGTCTGCGGCCTTCACGGCTAAACGTAGATTCAGAAGTCCTGCTGGAAATGTCCCTGAGGACGGGGATCGTTTGTGCAGAACAGACGTGGAAATATAAGAAAAGCATAACTGTAATATGAGATCTTTTCTTACAAGATTGATGAAATCTTTGAATCAATGGGCTGCTACTACAGTGAACCAATACTGCCAAGGTCAGAAGGAGTAACAAAGGTTTTTATAAAAGCTCCTGAAGCTACAACTGTGTTCTCAATTTAAAAAATGCAATCGGCTTCATGTGGAGATGAGGTGCTAATATAAACAAATAATAATATGTATATTCCTATAGTGTTTTTGTAAATTAAATCCATGTGTGTGTTCTGTCAGCCATGTCAGCTTTAACGTTTAAGAAAGCGTGATAACTTCATAATGTACATCCAGACAGAGAACCAGCTGGGACTGTGGGATGAGTAAACTGAGACAGTGTTAGTGTTGGGTCAGTTCTCCTCAGGACTGATCTTCCCTGTAATCACTCCTGAAAGTATTGCCAGTGCCTGAAATGGTTTCTAATCCCAGACTGGATTCATAGTATTCCACTGGTGTTATCCTTAATGCGGCTTCCCTGGAGGGCTGGAGACTGTTATGTTCACCACGTGTTAACTTAAAGTTGGATTCAGGGAAGTCGCAGGATGATAACTTGTTTTAATGATCAAAGTACAGAAAGTTACAGAGTCATTGTTACTGTATGCTGAGATTGTGGTTGCATGCTTTTTGCTTTAAACATGCATGAGATAGAGAAATGTTGTCAGACTTTTAAATAAATTCATTTGTATTCATTTTGTATGATCTATTACTTATTTCAGATATTCCTGTACAAGAACTGTCAGAAATATCATGCAGTTATTAATCCAACAATTGAAATATAATTAGGAAGTGGTGTAAATTAACTGAAATATATGGTTTAAAGGTCCCATGTCATGTTTTTCCGGTTATTAGCCGTCCCCTTGTGTGTTATGAAGGTTTTTCTGCATGTAAACGATCTGCAGAGTCACAAAGCCTCAAAGTACACCCTGTAGCGAGTAAAACTCTTAACACAGAAAATACCTTTCTATGCTGCCCCAGAACGCCTCGTTGGACATTTCTCTTTTTCCATTGTTTTCTTCCTGGGTACAGTGACGTGCCCATACCCAAATGGACCCATTGGTCCAAATGGACCAATCCGTGGAGCCGTTACGTTACGTCCATGCATTGTTCCAAATTGACCAATCCGCGGACTTCCACACACACACACTCAATCTTTTCTCAGCTGCAGCTCTGCCGATTTCTCCTCCCTGAGACAGCGGGACGTGGCGAGGCTGTGAGTCGGTGTGTGAGCACAAACTCCCAGCCAGGCTGCGGGTGTGTGTGTGTTCGGGCTGGGTTTCGCTGTGTCTCGCAGACGGCCACTGGGCTCATAGGGAGGGGGGAGGGGCAGGATCTCCAACAAGCCGTTTAGGACAGAGTGAATACACATACTTTACAGAGATGCTGTATGAGAAACCAATGTGATTTTGGAAAATTGCACAATATAAATCTATTCTAGTTTACCTCAACAATGGAATTATGATCAGTAGAAATGGCCATGACATGGGACTTTCGATGTACTGGAATACAATATAATCTTAATCTATTCAAGGTAGCAACAAACTAGTATTTTATAGTGGCAGAGACAGACCAGCAAAACTTAACATGTAAATGCTGTTACACAAAGTGTAGATCACTTTGTGTATGCAAGTGTCTTACAGTAAGAGTGTTACAGTGATCTTAATCTATGTGTTTATTAACCTATTGATGGCCAAGCTTTTAGATTCTAATGTTGCTAATACTCTCTTGCTTACTGTTTCTCAGGCAGGTGCATGGACAAAAAGTTTGTGATGGTCTATATAACAAAATCTCAACTGCATTTATCCGAAAATGTCCATATCTTAATATTTTAAGGAGTAGGCCTAATTGTATGTCACATCTCAAAATATCAGTAGTTTTGATTAATAGTTTACTATGTTGTCTGTTAGAGGTAATGCATGTCAAAAATAATAATACAAAATCTAAGCATTTATCACAAATACCCTTGAAATTAGAACATAGTTAAGAATTGGGATTTGATGTTGCAGTATGTAACCGGATGACATTTCAGGAGTAACATATCAGTGGTGGGGTTAGTCAGCACATGTTTGGTCAGACATTTGCATGCCAGTCATGTTTGATCACTTAAATGGAGACCGAGCAAGACATTAGGACAACATTTAAACAAGCAATAGTTTTTGTTTCCAGTCCAGTCATCACGTGGGTAGGACAGATACTCCCTCGTAGTGGTATAACATGTGAGTCATAAACTATTCTCTCTATAAATCTGACATGAAGTGACTTTGTTTTGCACAGTTATCATTGGCTGCACAGTCACGATGAAAGGCTCACGGCTATTGGTTCAATCTCAAAGAAGGCTTCTGATTGGTCCATTGTCAAGCTCTACAACCTTTCACCTTTGAATAGCAAAACATGCTAGTTTATACACTGTGGCATGTATAAGTAACTTCACTGCCCTTGAACTTTGTGACATATTTCTCACGAAGGTATGACAGGAAGGAGGCGGAGGGATGCAGGTTGTTAGCTGAACGTTTATGGTGAGTAAATAAAAAGATATCGCGCTGAATTCATGTCAAACTGTGTGCTAATTGAGCTAAGCTACCTGTAATGACAGTTATGGTTGAGCTTGTGTAGTTGTCCAGAAATGAACCTTTATTGTTGCCGAAACAGCGATGAAAATTATTGCCAGTTTGCTGGTTGTTCGTTAACATAATATGTTAATACCCCGTTCTCGGGAAAGCGGTTTGCAAACTGTTTGTCATTTCCTAATTGCATATATTGAAACACAATGGTGCATTCAAAGAACACAAGTATCCTACATAACACATGATTTTTTCAACATACTATACTACATCGTTTTTTCTAATATATTGAAAATACTATACTTTCTTTTACTTTTACATACTATCCTACTTTGTTTTTTTCTGATATTTTCGACATACAATACTATATTTGTTTTAATGAGTTTCAACATATTATACCATGTTGTTTTTTGATCGACTTAAGTGAACATTTAACCAGAATCTTTCTTAATATTTATCCCACTTCAGCCTGTTTTGCCACCTTAACTCCAGTCATGGCGGGGATCTTCCAAAGATCACTAAGGCTGCGGACAGCTCTCAGGCATCTGAGCCCCCAAAGCCCCCTCTCATGGACAGTCACAGGAAGACATACACCTCTGGACCTCCACTGCCCATTCCTGCCCTCCACCTCATGGCAGTTTGCAGTCTGCAGTCGAAAGCTGCACACCGGGGCGGACAGGCCCTCTCCTGCTGCTGCCCCAGACCGGCTGCCTTTCTCCAGGATAACCCAGGAAGATTTAGCCTTCTTCAGGAAGATCCTACCAGGCCGAGCCGTCACAGACCCGGACCTGCTGGAGTCCAGTAATGTGGATTGGCTGAAGTCAGTGAAAGGTGAAAGTGAATTGACCTCATTTCACTTCAAGATTTATTTTCTTGTTGTCATTATCTTTAATTCCTCTGTTCTTACATCGTCTGCAGGCTCCAGTGAATTGTTGCTGAGACCTCAAACAACTGAAGAAGTTTCTCAAATTCTCAAGTAAAGACCAAATAGTGTGTGGAAAGAAAAATACAAGTCAGTGGTTTATGAGCAGTGTTGGGTGTAACGCGTTACAAAAGTAACAGACTTACATTAATGTATTACTTTTTGCTGTAACGAAGTAATGTAACGCATTACTAATGACATTTGGGGAATATACTACCTGTTACAATTCTCAATAACGCAGTTACAACACATTTTAGTAAGCCTCATGTTTACCCTTCTGTCGGGTGTTCTTTTCCCCATAATGACCGCCTCGCTGCACATTATCCCGCTTATTACACGGCCATACTAAACAAACTACCGAGCCCATTCCGCGTTCCTGTTATTGTTTACTTCCTCTCTGCCTTCTTCTTGTGATCTATCTGACGTCCAGCGCTCCGTCTTTTAACCTCTTTTCCTTTCTCTTTCTTGATCCTCCTTAGCAACCTTCATTATAGTCCTTGACAGCGGTCTGTACTGTATTAATAACGTGTCACATGTTAAGAATTTACAATCAGAATCGAGTATTCAACTAAGCCGTGTAATAACAGCTGTTAGTAGCCTTAATGGCCTACACAGTTGTTATGCTATACCACATTGCCCTTCACTGGATGTATAATGAGCTGCACTAAACTACATTTCAGCATTTAAAATACCTAGCCATTCTTTTGAGGTTATTTTGGTAAAGTAAATCAAAAGTAATATAAAAGTAGTGTAACTCATTACATTTCAGCGACAGTAATATTTTAATGTAACTTATTACTTAAAAAAGACAGTAATAAGTAATATGTACTATATTACATTTTGGAAGTAACTTGCCCAACACGGTTTATGAGCGAGTTAAAGTTGATGTATTTCCCTCCCTGTAGGTATTGTAACAGTCGTAATCTGGCGGTGAACCCTCAAGGAGGCAACACTGGGCTAGTGGGGGGCAGCGTACCGGTTTATGATGAGATCATCCTCTCCACTGCCCTTATGAACAACATCCTCACCTTTGATAGCATCTCCGGTAAATACTGAACTTTCTAAATGAGCTGTCTACCTCCAAAAAAAGTTGTATTTCTTTACAGCATTTTGTGTATTTTATTCCTTCTTCATCAGGCATTCTGACCTGTCAGGCAGGCTGTGTTTTGGAGAACTTGTCTCTTTACCTGGAGGACAGAGACTACATCATGCCTCTTGATCTGGGGGCAAAGGGCAGCTGCCACATTGGGGGAAACGTGGCAACGAATGCAGGTGGGCTCCGTCTGCTGCGATACGGCTCCTTACGTGGGACTGTGCTGGGTCTGGAAGTGGTGAGTGGAGTCAAGGAATGACCAACACATATTGTATTAAATAAGGATAACATACTTAATCTAATGTTTGTGTGTATGTTTCATGTACAGGTGTTGGCAGATGGGAGAGTGCTGGACTGCTTAGCCACTCTGCGGAAAGATAACACAGGATATGACCTCAAACAGCTGTTCATAGGGTCAGAGGGCACACTAGGGGTCATCACTTCAGTGTCCATCCTCTGTCCACGCAAACCCACATCTGTTAATGTGGTTTTTCTTGGTAAGATTCTTTTAATTTGTCATTAATATTGTCAAAGAATTGCTAAGCATGTGTGCAGTAGGAACGTTTTTAGAGTGTAGCTGATTAACGTCAAAAATAGGTTTTGTTTATAGATTATTAGGTAACATATTGTATTCTATTAGGCTGTGAAACCTTTGAGCAGCTGCTGAAGACATTTCAGCTCTCCAGAGGCATGCTGGGAGAAATTCTGTCAGCCTTTGAATTCCTAGACAGTGAGTGTATGAGGCTGCTGAATACGCACCTAAAACTACGCAATCCCATCTCTGGTAGGTACACACACAAATACACACTTAGTTCTTAGTAGTAGTGGTTAAAGCAATAAAAAACACACACACGAGAAACTCTTTCCTCCATCCTGCAGATTGTCCTTTCTACGTTGTCATTGAAACATCTGGATCTGACTCGACACATGACGGGGAGAAACTCCACCATTTCTTAGAGGAGGCGATGACGTCATCGTTGGTGACTGATGGGACTGTGGCAACTGAAGACTCAAAAATAAAGGTATTGTCTCTCATCTACAACAAATTGGAAAGTAAAGAGGGAAACACAGTGTTGTGATTTATTATTGACAATATATTAAATTATCACTCTCAATCGTCTTGCTTGTTTATAGTGAATATGTCAGCACTTTGAATCATCATGGTTTATTGCACTTTAAGCATCAGCTAAATGTAATGTTTTCAAAGTAGTTTAAAACATTTTTTTTGACAAAACATACTTTAACTTTTTGGGGACATACTTTACTGTGTATTTCTTCCAGCTTTTTTTACACACTGCTTTTAACAAGCTATGTCTTTTTTTCTAATATAATTTTAAAAAGTTTTGGATTAGAGCAAGTTATCAGTTGTATAGTAGTGTTGTTTAGTTAATATCTCTATATGGACTCAATAGTCAACCCATCTCTATCCTCACCTTAGTTTAAAACTTCGGTTTAGATGGAAATGACAACGTGCAATGAACTTTTCAGGCTCTGTGGTCGATGCGCGAGCGTGTCACGGAAGCGCTGACTCATGACGGCTTCACATACAAGTACGACATCTCACTTCCTGTGGAGCGGATCTACCAGCTGGTGACGGACATGAGGGAGCACCTGGGGGACCGAGCCAAGAGTGTGGTGGGATACGGACATGTAGGTAAGACCAGAGGATGGAATGACATACAAAAAGTCTGTATATTTATTGGATGGGGAAACGTTGGCCTGCTAGCATGAGATACAATTGGTCCCCTATAACAGGGTTTCCCAAACTAATTCCCCAAAATAACAGTGCCAGAGACTGGCGACCCCCTGTCGACGTG